GCTGCCTTCAGAGTCAAACATCAGTGAGGCAGAAGAACAGCTGGAGCCTGTTCCCAGTGTGCACATGTGCAGAGTTGCCAAACTCTGATTAAAAGATTAAGGGTCAACTTGGGAGTAAGGTGGAGGATGAATGGCCCCTCCCAGAGGAAATAAAAGAGGAGCGAAAGGGGAGTGGAGTTTGCAGGAGACCATAAATTCACTCAATGGTTCGTGACTCTCCGAGACTCCTTCCCAACTTTTGCCGATATCGGCCTGGCAGCTCTCCAAGCCAGATAAGGTCTGTGACCGTAAATCCTCCTTTGAAAGACTTTGCCGGATGTGGATGTTAGCAAAGTCAATGAGGGGAATCTGGATTCGCTTAACGACCACCCCATTTGCTCAACGACGGCAGCAATTTTTCTTAACAACCGTAGGGTCAGTAAAATCCACTCACTTAGCAACCACCCGGCTTCGCCATGGAACTTCTGGTCGTTAAGCTGAGGACTACCTGCAAGGCAGCGCTTTGGTCCACTCTGCAGGGCACGGAGCGTGTTTCAACCGCTCGAAGGCTGTGTGAGAATCCACACGAGGCCTTCGTTCTGGATCTCGGCCAACCATTTTATTTTTTCAGCTGTGCTGGCATAATTTTCCTCGGAACCAGCTCTAGAGTATTCAAAATATTTTCCACCACTTCGCAGACGCCCCACCTCAGCTCCCTAACAAAGGAAAGGCTGAAGGCTCAACTCAGCTGCTCAGATGTTAACCTTCTCCAGGGCCTGTTTACTGCCTCCGTTCGGGGAATTTACAGAATCAAAAGAGTCGGAAGGGACCTTGGAAGTTGTCGCAGCAGAGTCGGACAGTGGGGAGGGTTGGGGAGGAACATGGGCCAGTCCTGGAGTCTGGGGAAGGCTCGGACGAGGGCTCTGTGTCGGAGGCAGAGAAGGGGCCAGGGCCACCTGGGAGTTATGTGCTGCCTCCAGAGTTGGACATCAGCGAGGCAGAGGAACAGGGGGAGCCTGTTCCCAGTGCGCGCATGCGCAGAGCTGCCAGAAGGTTTAGTTAAGACAAAAGGGGCGACTTGGGAGTAAGGCTTGGAGATGATTGGCCCCTCCCATAAGATATAATGGAGGATGTGTATAATACAATACAATACAATACAATAGCAGAGTTGGAAGGGACCTTGGAGGTCTTCTAGTCCAACCCCCTGCTTAGTCAGGAAACCCCACATCACTTCAGANAGAGAGAGAGAGAGAGAGAGAGAGAGAGAGAGAAAGAATGGAGGGAGGGAGGGAGGGAAGGAAGGAACAATGGTAAGGAAGGAAGAAAATAAGAAAGGGAAAGCAGAAAGGGAAGGAGGGAGGGAAGGAAGAAGGAAGAATGGTAAGGAAGAAGAAAATAAGAAAGGGAAAGCAGAAAGGCAGGGAGGGGGAGGAGGGAAGAAGGAAGAATGGTAAGGAAGAAAAGAAAGAGGGAAAGCAGAAAGGGAGGGAGTTAGGAGGAGGAGGGAAGAAGGAAGAATGGCATGGAAGGAAGAAAATAAGAAAGAGGGAAAGCAGAAGGGGAGGGAGAGGGAGGAAGAAGGAAGAATGGTAAGAAGGAAGAAAGAATAAGAAAGAGGGAAAGTAGAAAGGAAGGGAGGGAAGGAGGAGGGAGGAAGGAAGGAAGCAAGGAAGGATGGTAAGAAGGAAGAAAAGAAGAAAAAGGGACTGAAGGAAGGAAGAGAGAGAGAGAAAGAAAGAAAGAAAGAAAGAAAGAAAAAGGAAGGAAAGTAGGAAAGCTTCAAGGGTCCCTTCCTTCCTTCCTCTTTCTCATTCATCTTTGGAATCCATCCACCCATCCATCCATCCTCTCTCTTGGCAATGATTTTCCTTCCTTCTTGGAAAGGTGAAGGAAGGAAGATGAAAGAAGGAAGGAAACAGATGAGAAAAGGAAGCAGAGAAGGCCTGAGGATGATGGACGGAACGACAGCCGTGCTTCCTTTCTACCCGTTCCCCAAACTCAAATCCTTCCAAGATCCGACAGACCAGCCCACCCCATCAGGTGCTAAAGGCAAACGGCCTCTCCCGGGTCGAGGAAGCCCCCAGAGAACGCCAACCCTTTTGGGTAGGCCACGTGGCAGCCCACAAGGGAGCGGGGGGGGGACACCCATTTCGCTGTCGCTCAGATCTTGCAAGCAGAGCCAGCCTGCCCCTCAGCAGGGAGAAAGGATTACCGGTTGAGTAGAAGATCCAGGACCTGCTTGGTGGTGGCGAAGGCCCGGTAGGTGCAGAGGAAGATGGTCACGTAGGTGGAATCGTTGCCTTTGAAGGCCGAGACCAGGTATTCCACCAGCTTCTCCAGGGTGCCGGCTTTGATCGTCCGCACTTTGCACGTCTCGTAGAGGTTTAAGGCTGACTCGTTCTCAAACTGCAAAGGAACAAATCATGAGGAGGGAGTTGGCAGCCGATTCGGACAGTGAAGAGGGTTGGGGAGTGTTAGGAATATAATATAACAGTTGAGTTGGCAATATATAAATCATGTAGCAATGCTGTACCTGTTTCTTTAAATCATACTGTAAAATGTGATTGGTTGCTGTTTCCTAAATTGGCCATAAGAGGGAGCCAGAACGACTGTTAACTCTCTGTTTGTCAGATGCTCGGCTGATCTGATCTGAGTGTTTTGGAAGCTGGCTGTTAAAAAGTGCCGTGAGCTATTGTATGTTTTGCAACTGCTACCAAACTTTGAGTACTGTTTGTATGTTTATGGACTATGTTATTTGGATTATCCCTTAACTGAAAGACATTGATGACTGACTGTCTTATCCGTGTAT